TTTTTAAAAAAAAAGGTATCAAGCTCTTAAAAAATCACCCTTTATATTGTTAAGAGCACTGCGAGCGCTAGCGTTATCTTCACCATGAACTCGTCAAACTTCGTTCGGCTAACTCATGATTTTGCACGTCAAGTATATGTAAAATAGTTTATTTGTGTTAATGGCATCATTTTAATTTTTATCGCTTCGACTTTTAAAGTAAGGCGAAAAATCTTTCATCACATTTTTAAAACACAAAACTTAAAACATTAAAACGGCTAAGCTTTTTACGCCAAACTTTTAATTCAGAAACTGCCAATAGAGAAAGGATTTATAACTCGTTCTTTTCTCTGTCGATGACAAATAAGGCAACATGAGTTTTGCCCACCTGCATCCCCCCTTCGATGCCTCTCAGTCATTTCTGAGCGAAGTATTCACCCAGTTTCTGATGGTGGCTTCGATTGCCGAAGGTGGGAGTGCTAAAACTGGTTGCGGACCGAGGAATGCCTAGTCTGAGCCAACTCTGGTCAAAGGATCAAATGTCTCATAACCAGGTGCTGCAGAGTGAGCTGGCACCCAGAGTAAAACAACCTCGTTATGTTCACCATCATATTTTAGTCGAGACTTGCATTGCCGAACTAGTTTGGCAGTACTTAAATAGAGGGCTGGTCACGTAAACTCCTTCCCCTCCACCTATGTTCTACCACGTAGTCCGTGGCTTTGAGTATTGCAATTCCCTCAGCCTGGAAGACCGAAACATATTCCCCTACAGAAAAGTGAAGCTTATCTCCATTAATCTCGAAAAACACCCGAGCTCATGACACAGAGTCAGTTTTTTGGTCACCAGTGAAGATTCGACAACGTGAGTCCGGTCTCAGCGATGGAATCAAACCAGCATTCAGTCTCAGGGAACTCAACATTATAGAATCTCTTGAACAAAGGTAATGGTGGTGTACTATCCCGTAGCATTAAAAAGACACCAAGTGCTTAAATATCTGCCGCCAGCAATTTTAAATAAAGAGGCTATAAAGCAACCATTTTGTTTCTTTACATCGAAACCAGATAAATTTTCGTGGACCCCCATTTACAACTCATGGACCCCTATATTTTTTTCACGTCACCGTGGACCCCTGGGGGCCTACCTGGACCACATTGGGAATCGCTGGTTTAAATGAACCAAGGCGAATTCCATGGTACAATTAGAAAAACTTTAGAAGAAATAAGTGAACAATCAAAATCTTTAAATTATTTACTAACCAAATGTTGTTTCCGCTTTTGCAAATTAAACAAGTTCTCTGCAAGAATTGCACAGACATATATGGTATATGGGGTATTGAAATATTTATCGCTTTTCCCTTGCAGTCAACCTTTTAGTGTGGGAAACAATGATGTTTTTCAAATAAGCCAGATAGGAATAAGTGCTCTCTGGGAAGACAATACCTGTACGAATTCTACCAAGGGCGAATTCATACAAAGTGGCGTTGTAACTAGAAAAGCCGAGTTGATTTTCCTTGGTACACAAATGTCAACATTTGGTTTTTCGCTTGAGTGAGCGATAAAGTGGGAGTAGGTATTTGTATTTTCTTTCCACTTTTTTGCGAGAAGAACCGAAGAAATTTGACATTCGTGTACCCAAAGCAAAAACAAAAAACCCAAGCCATTTAAATAAGGCAGAAGTGACAACTAGCTCAAACTCTCTTCTACCTAGTTGTAATGTCAAAAAAAAATGTAAATAAACAAATTAACCCTTTGTGGTGCGAGTGCTATCTTTTCGACACATTAGCATCATTTGAAACGCATCAGCATAAATACATACATATACGTATGTATGTATGTATACTAATTTTAAGAATTACTTCAATATTACCTTCACCTGTTTTTATTCGCCCAATGTTTTTGCGCGTTTAGTTACCTACTTATTTAAATATTTAGTTCTTAAACACATCCGGCACTTACAAAAAAAATGATTAAATGTTTTCTTAACTGCCCTTTAGTGAAAATTTGTTCAAGGAAGACTTGTAATGACTTAGCCTCGTTTAACTGGGAGATAAAATCCGCTATAGTATCTTCCATTGTCTTAATTTTTTTGTATTACAGTTTTGTATTTTTGTATTTCAGTTTTGAAACTACATTGTACGGAATCATTGCTGAAGAAAAAATTTAAATCGTGTTGGTAAACACATTCATGGAATACACATACTAGGAATGTTAGTTAGTTTAAGGTCTCGAAAATCCCGGGATTGTTGACAAATAATCCCGCGATTTTCGGGATTTGTAATTTGCACTGATGGCAATAATATAAACTCCTTTTGTTGACCAGTATTGCCCCATATTTCTTTTTTTATTTAATAATTAATATATAGTAAATAGTAAATTTTAAACATAAATATCAATATATTCGCGAAACCATGGGCCAAATATAGTAAAATTGCGTTTTTAGTTTTCACTCTGACGTTAGTAATTCAAAAATTATTTAAAAAATTGAGAGAAATGTGCCTAGAGAAGACGTATGGTTATCAAATTGAAGAGGAAATCCTGTAGAATTTAAACAGTTTCAAGTTTTTGGTGCAGGACTGGTAAGTAATTAAAATGTCCTTTTAAAATTTTGTCCTTGAAATTTCGCAATATTTGTTTTTGAAAAAATATATGTATGTCAAAGACTTATACAAACCAATTTACTTATTATTTATTTTATGGTAGGACAGATGGAAGCAATTTTTTCGATTTAAGTTGTTGAAAAGTAATGGATATCTCCATCCCGGGTCTAATCCCAGGATCCCGGGATTCTGATAACGGCGTTACGAAAATCCCGGGATCGGAAAAAGCTGAAAAATTAACATCCCTAACACATACGTACGTATGTATGTATGCACATATGTATATCAGTGTAAATCTAGGTCCTGACGTGCTTATGTGAGCATAATTTTTTAATAAATAATTTCCGTTAATTTAAATTCAGTTGAGTTTGACACTTTTCAGGATTTTGCCAGAAAAAATTCTTCTGACTAAATCTGACTACTTCGGACTGATGAGAGTCACTCTCGATGAGTGTTGCTCTCTCATTTTTGCTGTCATTTCCGAGTTAAGGAACGCTTTTTGGACTAAATCTGATTACTTCGGACTTTTTCTGACTATTTCTGGGAGATAAGGAACGCTCCTATTGTTGGCAAACGCCAGACTGCCTCTCTCAATGGTTTTACCTTGTTATGTTTTTATCATGTATATATGTATCTATAAATGGATGTGGTCGAAATACAAAAAAATTCACACAATTCAAACCTATCTCACAGCACGCAATTCAATTTTTAATGAAAAACAGAAAATGCCAACTTGAAAAGGGTTAAAAGTTATTCATCATTTGACATTATAGTCGGTGTTCCAAACAGAGAAATGTCAAAATCACTTCTACCTTAAGCGCCACGGAGACGATCAAATATCTTTATCGACGCTTTAAGTGTATTGGTGCCGTCGGCTTTTGTCGGCTACACTTGATGAAAATCAAAAAATTTTGATATTTGAATTTGATGATTGTTTATTTGACCGTCTCGTGTTGTGCTTGACAAAAAAACAAGCTCACTTGCCTTCTGGTCGTCATGGTGAGCAAGTGCGAGTAAATTGATATTAATTTATAGTATATAACATATAAAATTATGCCATAAATGATATAAAAATTAACAATAAATACACATCCGATGACAACATGCACACAAACGCACAAATGCATATTCACAATACAAAGTGCTGATTGACGCGTTTATTGGAACGTTTGCGAGCAGCAAGACACGAGAGCGAACCTCACTCGCGCATACGCAATGCTTGACATATTTATTTGATTGTCTCCGTGGTGCTCTATTTAATATGCCTTTTTGCTGCTACTTTTTGGTTGTAAGACCTTAAATGACTAGGACACACTTTTCTCAGACACAAACGGCAAACAATTACGAATGTATGTAAGTATGTGGTCGGCGAAAATTTCGAATTTTTTTACATACCTCCCAAGCCTTGACTACACTTACATTGGGCCAAAAATTGTAATTAAGCCTTGTCTCTGGCATGGACGGTACGCAAATGTCTGGACAAAATATCCTTCCGGGCGTATCTATGCGAACAAATCCTACAGGAAAAACGCTTCGCTTGGCCAGTCCCACACGCACTTTCCAAATGTCGTTGCATGGTGGATACTCGGGAGTAAAGTTTTCCGCAGTGAGGGCAGACCGAGACCGTCAAGCCTTGATTACCCGCAGACGCACTGAAATTGTTCTCTATGTACATATATGTATGTACATATGTAATTCTTATAAGTCGTTACCTCAATATTTTACCAGCTGTCGTGAAACGACTAGGAAAAACGCATGGAACAGAGCCAGCGGGACGTGAAGCAAACGGATCTATTTTTGATATGTGAAAGCAATAAAATTCATTTTTAAATACTTTACATAGCAGGGAAACCAGAAAGAGCCGATATTTCGTACGCCAAAGAAAGAATTCATTTTTATTATGGGTTGATTATGGATAGCAACGCAACAACATCAGTTGAGTTGCCGACCGACAACGCCACTGACATAAAAATATGAATTTTGGAAACCAGCAATCAAAACTTCAGTGTAAGCAAAAACTGAAGAAACCGTTGAAAAAAAATAAATAATTTTCTCAATCAAAATTTCCTCGGCATGCACGAACATGCAGTTGCCGTTACACTACCAACTAACGTTTCCAGATGACGGCTGCTAGTTGCAATTTGTAATACCATTTCAGGAAAATAGCAACGTAACTGAAGTTCGGTTGCTATCCGAAATTGACCCGTTAAATAAAGTGGAAATTACGAAATCAAAAAAGTACTAAAGTAATGGGCTTGACTTGACTAACAATCGAATGCCATAAAACGGAGCATACGACACGACTTGTTTTACAACTTTTATTTTATTTATTACAATGACAAGAGTTAACGGAATCAATTATTGGATTTTCGAACTCATTCAACACAATTCAAATCGCTCCACAAAAAAAAACTACGTATTCTCACGATGCAAACCTCAGTGGCTCCTTAGACTTAGATGCTCCCTTGGCCCCCCTTTTGTACACATTTGGCATGAACCGTGCGCATGTGACGCGATAAAGTATCACTGCGGGCATATTTGTTGCTACACATCCCACACAAATACCGCTTCACTTTGCCAGAAGCACAGCCGCTTTTTAAATGACGCTGCATGGTGGAAACGTGCGAGTAGACTTTGCCGCAGTGTGGACAAGTCGGCAGGGCATCGCTGCCCGTAAAGGGACTGCAATTGTTTTGCTATAGTTATTCAAGAGTCTTTAGTTAGTAGTTCATTCTAAAATGTTATTACCTAGATTTGGTAGCAGTGACGTCACGGAAACTATTCAAGCTGCATGCAACATCGAAAATCGGATGAAGTACATCTGCGGATCATAAGGGGGTTTTGTTAAGTTTAGGAAGTTTGTCAAAGTTATTCATTTCAAACGCCTGACTATCTATATAGCAAGGAAAACCACAAAGAGCCGATTTTTTGTTAGCCAAAGACCGAGACGGAAGCAAAAACAAACAAACAAAAAAGAAAAAAAAAACTTCGCATGCGTTCTATGTAGCTAAAACCGAGTAAAAGATGTCAAAATTGCATTCACACTATTCATTTTTGAGTGTAGCTATTAATAACATTTGAAAAGATATAAAATAAAAATTATGTTTGCAGTTAGAACTTTTTTTTTTTTGTTGCACAGCATCACTTCTAGCAAACTAGCAAACACTTCCATTAATCAACCTTAAGGAGGTTGCAGTGGCATTATGTAAGACTTCCAATTTGCTTCGGTAAAATTCCCAAAGCCTCTAAAACTAGTAGTTCGGAAATTATATTGAACCCGGTAGAATTAACTTATTATTTTAAATTTACTGGCAGTATCCGACCGAATGTTCGGCCCGTTTGCTCAGATTCGGGAAATTTATTGGTGCTGCCGACGAGTTATATGAGCGGAAAAGGAGTTACAACGTCAAAGTTAAGTGAAAATGAGAGCCCAACAGATAACTGTTATTTTTTTTTTTACTCTCACAAAAATAGCTTGAAAAAATGTTGAAAAATTAATTATTAAAAGAATGATTGTTTTCTAAAAATTGCAAAGCAGAAAAAATACCGTTGATATTAGACACAATTGAGAGATAGAAATATGAATTAAAAAAAAAAAAAAAAAAAAAAAAATCGAATTGCCGCTTTCAAATTTTGATTGCGGCTTCAAATGGCACAATGACCGTTGGCTATTAGAATTGATGCTGGTCGGACCAGTAGTGGAGTTCGGTCAACCGCTACGCTAAATTTTCGTCACCAAAATGAAAAGTGGAAAGTGGAAAAGTAACAGCTGCAATATGTAATCAGCCATTATTACGACTTCTTGGTTGTTGTTACGATTGGTGTTGTGAAAATGTAAAATTCCCAAAGGATGTTTCAATGTTTCGCAACTCTTCATAAACAAACAGTTTCAATACCGCAGTTGGAACAGTATCCAAATATTATATTGGTACGTTTTGGAAGTCAGGGCTCGAATCGTCACATACGATATCGAACTACTCGTTACGTAAAAACGCATTTTTCGCATTATGACATACGTGAACGTACTCTTTGTCCCTTTCAGCTTATACTGCCTGACGTATCACGTAATTTTCTTTCGTATCGTTTTCATTCCGTGAACGGATGTTACGATTATAAGTAGCTACATACGTCAATCTTTAAATTTTTTTCGAGCAAACGGCTTTGTCATGCATGGCTTTGTCCTGATCTGAGCCCGTCCAATGTTTTCTTAATTACTACCCAGAAGATAATTTAGGTAGGCCTTCTTAAAGGGATTACCCAAGTAGAGCAGAAAATAAGTGTTTTCCTCTGTGAGCTAGAAGGGCTTTTTCTTTTCAAACTTATGCGAATGTATTTATAAAAGTGTTTGCTGTTTGGTTGAATTTCAATGACCATTTTAAATTGCAATAAAATATATTTGATATGAAGCTTAAAAACACATTTATGTATATATATATATACGTTAAAGAGGGTTGATTTTTATGAATTAAAGAAGCAGAGCAGCTTTAGAACTCCTCTAAAAGGCCTGCTGAAAGCAGACGGCCTTCAATTTGTGCCACTCCATAAAAAAATAGAAGTGGGAAAATAAGGCAAGAAGTCCTTTCGAAGCGTTTTTGGCTCCTGTATTAAAAACTTTAGCTTTCGGTTTGTAATCTGTTTCCCAGCGTTAAATACTGAGCGGATCATTTCAGAACGTAACCCTTCTTCTTACCGTTTTTCAGGCAGGCTGTAGGTGTGTTTTTTTGGTTCAGTGTGTGCAGTTGCAACAATGTTGCCATTTTTCATCAGTACGGCAGTAATGCCGCTTTGATTACGTGCCTCGAACAGGCCCATATTCATGAAAGGAATTGGAGGTTCTGTTATACACTGGTGGCAGAAATAATAGACCTGTCCTATTTTGGCCAGTTTTGGGTGTATATTTTTTTTTTTTTTTACTTATTTAATGTATAATTTTTTTTTGTAAAAGTCTAGCTCATTATATAATAAACTGCATTTAAATACGCATTTTAAACTTTGTACAATTATAAAAATTCAACAAAATTTTGCCAAAATTTCACACTTTATTCAGAATTTTTAGAAAGAATTTAGGTATTCAATTTCATATGTAGAGTCAAAAGTTACCGTTGATTTTTTATCACATTTGCCTCCTTGGCGATGTACCCGCTAAGCGTTTTTGGCCGCATTTGCTTCCTTATAACGTATAAACACAATTTATTTTTATATGAAAACGAATCGGAACACCTTCGACAAAAAATGATCAAAATTCAAGAGTACTTTGTAGACACTTGAAACTTGCACTTTATCATACCAATACTTAATGGGCTATAAAATCGCAGTTAAAATTTTTGTAAACATTCTGAATAAAAAGTTTGAAATTTTGGTGAAAACTTGTTGAATTTTTGTACAAACCTTAAAATGCA